CGCCCTCTGAATATACAATTTTCAACTGTTTGCCGCAAATCTGCCAAAAGAACGAAAGACAAGAATGGAATAAGCCGATTGGGCTGACGGTGTCTGACGTAATCTGCCACTTAAAAATTTTACCCACAGCGCGTTTTGACATACCAATGTGGAAGGGGAATCAAGCGATATGAAGCATACGGTTAGTGGATTTAAAAAAGGATATAATTAACATTGCAAATTTTATTTTATCCTCTCATAGTATATGTCTATTTAGGTTTTTGCTTATGTAAGGAGCACTTTTTAAAATGGATTAAAGACTTATTTAATCTATGCCTTGAAAAAGGAATAATCCCGTCTCAATGGAACAACGCCATAACGATACTTCGCCATAAAAAGGGCGATATCACCGAGCTTGAAAATTATAGACCGATAAGCCTTCTTTGTCACTTGTATAAGCTGTTTACCAAAATCATTGCCAAACGTCTCGAACGTAAACTAGATTTCTATCAACCAAGAGAACAGGCAGGCTTTAGGAAAGGTTATGGAACAAACGAGTCTTCAAGTAATTAAAGTCCTGAGTATGGTGATAGAAAAATCTGTGTGGAATACAACAGGCCCCTAGCATTGGTGTTCGTTGATTTCCAGAAAGCATTTGACACAGTAGAATTAACATCAATAATAGCAGCATTGGAGCAGGGAAGAATAGATTATAGGTATACAAGGCTTAGAGAATACATATATAGTAATGCCACCAGAACTGTAAAACTTCACGAAACAACAGATAAAATTGAGGTAGGCAGAGGAGTTCGACAAGGGGATACTATTTCGCCTAAACTTTTTACAGCTGTCCTTGAATACGCAATGAAATCACTCTCTTGCGAGAATAGGGGCATAAATATCGAAGGTGAAGGGTTGACACATCTCAGATTCGCAGATGACATCGTCCTTGTCTCAGATAACATCGGAGATTCAAAGCAGATGCTCGAAGAATTAGTGCAGGCCTCATTAAAAGTCGGTCTCCGGATAAATACGAGTAAAACGCAAATAATGACAAACTTAGTGCTGATACAGAACATCAGAATAGGTGACGCCGACATAAAAGAAACACATATATACAAATATCTCGGGCACGAAATACAAATCGGAAAGAACAACCAAACACACGAGATACAACGCAGAATAGGTTTGGGTTGGGCTGCTTTTGGCAAACTGCGGGAGACCTTTAAAAGTGATATACCTATATGCTTGAAGAGGAAAAGTTTATGAACAATGCGTCTTGCCGGTAATTACATATGGAGCGGAAACTCTAACATTAACGAAGAAGTCAGCAGAAAATTTAAGAGTAGCCCAGAGAGCCATGGAGAGAGCCATGCTTGGAATAACTAAAAGAGACAAAATTCCTAATAACACTATCAGACAAAAACCAAAATTAAAGACATAGTGGAACACGTAACTCGAATGAAATGGAGATGGACAGGTCATGTGGCGAGAACATCTAAAGACAGGTGGACTAGAAGATTGTTAGAAAGGCGACCTCGAGCAGATAAACGTAGCAGAGGCAGACCACCGACACGCTGGACCGATGATGTAAAGAGAATTGCTGGAAATTGGATGATGACGGCCCAAAATCGAGAGACATGGAGAAATATGGAGGAGGCCTACGTTCAGCAGTGGACAACGATGGCTACATGATGATGATGACGATGAAGGAGCACTTTGTTTACTCACTTGTTTCGTCGAACTGCTTGAATTCATTTTTGCTTTTGATCAAATCGGTGTGAGAAACTATGAAGCTATAAAATGTTGTTTCGGGAAAGTTGAATATCCGGGAAAGTTGAGTTATTGAACCCAACAAAGCCCCAATTACGCTCTCCTTTAAGCGTTAATACTTTTTCGGCAATTTTATTAACATTTGAAATTGTCACAACACAACACGGAGCCTGATCCGGATTCTTTTTCACTTATTTTTTACTACCCGAATCAGCATTGCATCACACAAACCTCGTATCTGAATGTTTGATAGTTTCAATAACTGCACTTTTTCAGCGAAGGAAAGGTGCAAAGGGAGAATAGTGGGATCACTACTGCCTCACATGCGAATTATGAGTGCACACTGTGTCGGATATGACGCCGGATACTTTTTTCACAATGTTTTATTTGCCTTTTTAATATAAACAACATATCTGCTGCTATTTTGGGGGTATTCCAAATTACCTGCACGTTACGTCCACAAACATTTTCTGCACTTTCTTTTCATGGGTGAAAAAATCCATTTAAATTACTTAAATATTTTGAAACTTTCGTATGGCATACAATATATGTAGATCTAAGGCACGCTATTTATTTTAGTCAAAATAACCAAGATTTAAATTTTTTGCAATTTTTTTTGTAACTAGGTACCATTCCAAAATACCTTCACTTCCTCTAATAAATTCCAACTAACCAAAAAAAAAAAGAAATCACTCGCCAAAAGTCTCCAAACTCGTTCCGTGCTCTTCGTTTTCCCCGATTTTCCTGTAATTTCCTCATTGTCCCGACGCATTATCTCCACCCTTCCAATCAAGTACTCTTGTTTTCTCTCTGCGAAACAAGCTGGAACCCTGTAATTTGGGGCCAGTGGAAATAACCGGCCGAAATTATATTGTCGTCGTTGTCGTCGGCTGTTTACGAGGGATGCACTCTCCGACTGTTTTGCCTCAAATAAATTAATTAACTGGCTCGGAACGAGTTTTTCGGCTAATTACGAGAAAATGGAAAGTGATGCAGTGGGGTGAAATGGATTCCATCGAGTAGAAAGCTTGGAATTTTCGTAGTTTTCTTTTTTCTTCCTCTTCTCACAGTGCCATACTCTCTCTATACAGAGCGTAGGCTATAATGGTCCATCTACTATCTACCATTTGTTTGCCATATTTATATATAGTACGAGATTTAAATTAAGTTTTCTCTGAAGGGTATTATGACCGTGGATAAAATATACTTTATTTATAGATTTCTTTCTGGGTATTAATGCAAGTACAGGGTGTCTCATTTTCGTGTGTTTTACTGGTTTTTGCTCACATTTTATTTTTTAATTTCAAACCAGTAAGTTTCATAAAAAAAATGATAGAAGGTAAAGATCTTTCTAAATATACCAGGGTAATTCAACCCCTTCCATAATTTTAATAAGTGAAAAATTATGCGGTTATTGTTATTCATAATACTAATGTTTTGTAAGATTTCATTATTCTATCGCTTTAATTGATCATACCGCAGGTGAACTTACTATGTAATGTATAAGCTAGTTTTAAATCCGTCTTATCTCACACATAAAACCGACAGGTTTATGTATAGATACTTACTTACTGCCATTACTCGCCGACGAGTTTTTGACATGCATCAGAAAATGGCAGAGCGTTTTCTTTCATCAGCTTTTCTGTGACTGAAAAACTCGATACCTGATACATGTTATATATGTCCGAACCAAATCTCATTACTTTGTTGCCTCTTTAGTTGTTGGTTGTCATTGTTAAATGAGTTTACAATTCTTCTCCATTGCACTCTATTATGCGCTGCTTCCTCCCACTGATTCTGCATGCTTGTCCCCTTTAAATTTTCGTGGAAAATATCCTTGTACCTTTTGGGTTGTCCACCCGGTTTCCTCATACCAGTTTACCGTAAAAAAGAGATTTTGGTAGACAGTTTTCTTGCATTCTGCATACGTGAACAGCCCATCTTAACCGTGATTTAGTAATCATGGCTTCAGCGCTCTCGTAGCTAGATTTTTCAAGGACCGATACCTTTGAGACATGATGGTACATCTTTGTTTCAACTTGTTTAATACGTTCATGTGACTACAGTACGGCACCCAGGTTTCGCTTCCATATAACATGGTGGGGATTATTTTTATTCGGTGCACTGCAAATTTCGTTTTTGTGCTCAAGTCATGATTTTAGAAAACGGAAAAGTCTTTTAATTTCCAGTATGCTCTCCCTTATGTATATAGACGGATCTTAAAGTAAAGAACAAAATTATTTTAAACAATAGTCAAATTGTTTATCCCTGATATAAAAAATTCTTCTTCATTGCCTTACATATTAATATTTCAGGCTGACCTTTACTACAATTAATCTTAATTTAACTCACCCATCCAACTCGGCGAGGCACAACATCAGTCGGATAATATTACAGCGACCGGAAGTTGCCCGCTGAAAGCGAGGAGCAAACTGTGAAAAAAATTCGGAATATCTTGAGTAATTATCCGTCGAAAAAAAACGACACGGCCCAGGATCGTAACAAATTAATCGCGTTCAGAACAAGGGCCGTAATGGATTGTAGATTTTCTATCTGCACTGAGACCATTAATTTTTTTTCACCCTTTTTTATGCTGGGTTTGTTAGACCAATCACTTTAGATTTTTTCAACAAAAAATTCGGAGAGTCGAAACTTTTAACGCAGTTAGTTTCTTTTTGAAAAGTAGATGAAAAAATTATAGTCCTGTCCATATATTTGCAGTGTCGGCCATCTTGGATTTTATGTTTATTTGAGATTTTCGCGCACTCTTTGCAGTTTTTGACGAAGAAGTTTATGAAAAAGTTATGTTCGTCAAGTCGTACATCTAGAGGACGTTTTGTCTCTCCAATATACGACTCACCGCACTCGCAAGGTGCCTGATAGATGCACTCTTTATCTTGGTTTGATGATTCAGGTTTTGTTTTTGTTAGGACACTTAGAGTAGTCCCAGACTTAAAAACAGTTTTAATTTTATATTGCTTGGCTATTCGCCTGATCTTCTCCGACGTTTCTTTCATATATGGAATCGTCAAGAGAGAAAGAGCATCCTCCTCATATTGTCTAGGGATTTTGCAGAGTAACCATTCTGAAGCAAATCGGTTTTAATATTATTTAGTTCAGAACTCAGAGGTTCTTGGTCACTGCATATACTGATTGCTCTATGACATAGTGTTTTAATTATACCTCTTTTGGTTGCTTCAGAATGGTTAGACTGAGAATTTAAATATTGTCCTATATGTGTTGGTTTTCTATATACAGAAGTGTGGGCTAATAGATCCATCACTTCTACTTACAAGAACATCCAGAAACGGCAGATAGAAGTTTTTCTCTTTCTCAATCGTGAATCTGATTGAGATATTTCGTGAATTAAGATGATTAAGAAAGGAATCCAACTGTCTATCGATTCCGTTCCAGATTATAATGGCATCATCAACATATCGAAGCCAGATTTTGTGTTTGACCACCGCGATGCTAATGGCATTGGTCTCGAACCATTCCATATATATATTCGCTAAAACTGGAGAGAGCGGGGAACCCATAGGTAAACCATCATTTTGAGCATAAAACTTTTCTTTAACTTGAAAATAAGAATTACGCAGACAGCACCTGAAGAGCTCCATCACTCCCCCAAGGGGCAGCGAAGTCCTTTCGGAAAACGTTACCTCATCCCTCAATCTAGCCTCGACGATGTCTAACGATTCCTCTAAAGATACGTTGGTGTATAAATTATCTACTTCAAAACTGACAAATTTGTCTGAAGGACCTAATTCTACTTTCTTAAGTATATCTACAAAATGTTTAGAGTTCTTAACAAATGAAGATGTTTCTTCTACCAATGGTTGGACAATTTGAAGGAGAAATCTACTTAAATTGCTAGTTGCTGAATCTCTTGAACTAGTGATAGGTCTCAGTGGCATACCACCTTTATGAATTTTTGGTAACCCATAAAGATGTGGTGTTTTCTATGTTCTTAAAAAATTATGACAGGTATGAAATTCTTATATTTGTATAAAGCTCGGTAGATTTTTCCTTCAATTTCCTTAACAAAATAAACAACCTCCACTAAAACGCCCAATACTAGGTATTCATTTCACATATGCCTACTTTATCTAGTATTCTGATTACTATTTAAGAACGTTCTAACAAAATAAACCTAATAACAATCAAACTTTGAAATATACCGTAAAAATAAACGTCTCTAGTTTAACTGACAATTGAAAATCATGGAATTAATGGACAACACTCGGCAACAGTGTTGGGTATGCGAGTTGACTGGTGGGATGCAGAAGCTAGTGAAATTAACTACGTTTCAAACTTATGACTCTATTTTTTTTATTCTTTGCTCAAATTTCATCTAAAACTGATAGGGCTAAGTTTCTATCTGGATCACTTCGAAAAGTGAAACAATGCGAATAAAAAACAACACAGGAATTGACTGCGCTTTATCTCGAAAATTGTTTTTGTATTTTAATTAGACGGGCCTGTAACGTAATTTATTTTAATTATAGCGAACGGCAGACACGCAATATTCCCGTGTTATTTTTCAATGATAAAAGGAACCCCCTGCCGGTAGGGCTATTTATTTTTCGACTGTGAAGTGTGGCTCTTAATATTTCTATTTAAGGCAGTCCAGGAACCTATTTTTTGTTACAGGGGTGGCGCCCCTCATACAGAGCGAAGTCTCCAAGGAGAACGACAACTTTTGTTAAAATGAAATGGATATCAATTAAGAAAATTTTTGCAGTGAAACTTCTTTTCACGTGCTGGGAGTAAAAATTCAAGGCCGTGTCACGACACGCGACACAACAGGCGATAGGAAAAGTGCTAAGGACAGCCTACGGCTTAGAAAAAATCGTCCGATTTAAATGAAATTTGGTTGGTCGATAAATTGGACCAAGGCCAACTTGACCGTGTACGACACGTGTCACTGTGACAGTTTTGACCTAAGAAACGTCAAAAGTTGATATCGTCTGATCGCGACCAAATTCGGTGGGTAAGCTATGTCAGCGACGCGACGGTGCATACAGTATCACCCTGTAAAGTTGGATACGACGTTTCGTTTACATCTTTATCAGGGTGTATGAATTGGGGCCAGAACTCTAAAGAATATAGAGTTCTGCGGGGTGTTCCCCAAAAAATTTCCTGCGACTGTATTTTTTTTGTAGGTGTTTTTTGTAATGGAATACCCAATATAGGGTGAGTCTTAAATAAGTGCAAATAGTTTTAGAGGTAGTATATTTCAACGATATATATATACAAAAAGGGAGATCGTACTAAGTGCGAAAACTACAGGGGAATATCAGTAACAGCCACCGTGAGTAGAATATATGGAAAAATTTTGAGGAATAGGATTGAAAACGAATACCAAGAAATAGAAGCCGAAGAACAAGCAGGACTTAGAGCCGGAAGATGGATAGTGGACCACTTATTTACAGTCACTCAAGTAATAAGTAAAAAGAGCAATATAAACCAAGAGCTACATCTTGTGTTCGTGGACCTGCAGAAGGCATACGACAGCGTTCCCCTTGTGAGACTTTGAGAAGCTATGGAAAAAACCAATATAAATGTAGAGCTAATAAAAGCAGTTAAATAAAAAAATAAAATCATTATATAAACAAACAAAAACTAGAATAAAAGACGGCAAAAAGTTAACAACAGGATTTAATGGAACCAAAGGTCTGAAACAAGGGTGCTGTATTTCACCAACACTGTTCAAGATATATCTCGAACAAGTTCTCAAAGGTTGGAAACAAAAATGTAGAAATATGGGAGTACCCATAGGGGATAACATGCTCTACATACTTTGCTTCGCGGACGATCAGGTGATCATAACACAAGATTACGATGACATAAATTATATGACACGTAAGCTTATAGAAGAATATCAGAAATGGGGACTCGAGATCAATACTAACAAAACAGAATATATATGTATCGGAGGAGAACAACAAGATCTAATACTAGAAGAAGGGAAAAAAATTAAGTGCTGCACAAAATACAAATATTTGGGTATATAAATCACAAATGATGGACTGTTGGATACAGCAATTAAAGAACGAAACCAACTTGGAAGGAATGCTATCACGGTATTGAATGGGATACTGTGGGACAGAAGCATAAACAACAAGAACAAAACTCTAATATACAATACCATCATAAAGAGTATAACCACGTACAGCTGTGAAGTCTGGCCAATTAAGGAAACAACAAAACGAATGCTGGAAGCTACAGAGATGGATGTTTGGAGAAGATCAGCAGGCAAATCAAGACTCGAGCGAATAACTAATGAACGCATAAGAGAGATTATGGAAGCTTAACATACGATAGTGGACGACATAAAGAACAGTCAACTCATATGGTACGGGCATGTCCAAAGAATGGCAGAAATAAGAATCCCAAAGCAAATTATAAACTGGAAAGACTGCTGGAAGAAGAAAACCGGGTAGACCGAGAAGAAGTTGGCAGGAAGGGATTGACACGTTTATGGAGGAAAGATCTCTCGGAGACGGTGCATGCAGGAGAGACAGACAGGCATGGAGAGATGGCATCGGAAGACGTAGAACGTTTTAAACCTATTAATATATATATATATATATATATATATATATATATATATATATATATATATTATATATATATATATATATATATATATATATATATATATATATATATATATATATATATATATATATATATATATATATATATATATATATATATATATATTTCGACCACAGAAACTGGACTTGAGGTTTTTTTTTTCGGGAAAAAAGAAATTTGAAAATTTGGATTTTTTTTTTAAATTTTTTTTCTGGAAATGTTAGTCATTTTTGGTTAAAAAATATGTCTTAAAAATATGGCAAGATAGGTAGTAGATTAAATTTACAAGAGAGAAAACCAATGAAAGGTACAATGAATCTAATCTCACAATAAAGTAAAAAAATAAGCAAAAAATCATTCTTTTCTTTAATATTCAAAGTAAAATTACTCGGTTATTTACAGAATCATGTTTTTTTTTGGTGGAAAATCAATTACCTCCACGAAAAAATATGTTCTTTTCTATTCTACCAATCGAAAACGTCAAACATGCCCAGCTTTAATCACATAATAACAGGCTTAAAAATAGTATCAATCGTTCGTTATCATTTCCAGAAAAATCAAAACGACCCTCATTTGACTACCGTCAAATTGGTGCAAATTTTCAAAATCTATACTCTATTATTCTTTTTCCCCTTTTTTTAACTTTGTCTCGAATAATAAAATGCGAGAAATAAAGAAATTGCCACTAATTTCAGGGCGAGGAAAAAAATAAATGGCGCGGCTTAGAGAAGCAAAAGGCCAATTATTCAAACAAGCCGAAAAAATAAGAGAAATCAAATTAAATATATCATTTCGTAATAACAGTTTCTCGGAATGTTTGCCAACGATTTAATTTGCATATTTTCCTTTATGTTTATTTTGCCATTTTTAACTTCCAAGGGATATAATTTATTTTCGGAAAACCTATTATTTACTAATTTACGGGTTTGTTTTTAATATAATCATATATATTTTATATTCTAACGCTATTTTCTTTTAAAATGGGTAAGATCACATAGTGCTTGAAATAAAAATGTTGGTAATTACATATTACATGCAGAATGGTTTAGATTAAAAAAAATTAAAACTTTATCATTACTTTTTTTGACTTAGGATATATATGCATCTCTAATAAACCATTTAACATTTATATGGAAAAAAATCATATCTTCGGCAACAACGAAGATATTGCAATTTTTTTATTTCTAACTTCTAACCACAGATTCTCTTAACAGATGATCATGGGCCAAAATGACATTACTCGTACATGCGCAATACAGTTTTCAATTATAACTAGTGAAAAAAGTTTGTTAACTTCCCTGGTAATTGAAAAGTAAAGATTTAAAGATTTCAGTTAACGTCTCCTTTTTGCTGCCAGGGCTAATCTGGACGGGGCCTACTTTTTTTACGCGGAATCCGAACCGCGGTCCTCGGCCATATCATGATCAGTGGCCTATCGACTTAGGAAGTGTCTAAATTAACTCTTCACTTACTTAATCCGATCTCATCCGGCCTCGAACCGGCGTGAATGAGCAGTGTGTATCAATAGATTTTACACTTTTCCCTTGGACAGCAGCACGATACAGATACCTCCAAGAGAAAAAAGATACAGATACCTCCAAAAGAACAAATACCTCCGTTAATTGAAACTACTTTTATTCTACTAAGGAGCCTGTTTGGAAAAAAGTCCGGAAGTTTTGAAACTTTGCAGGTTTATAGGTTTTGGGGTTTCTAACTAAAATCCATAAAATGCACATTTCTAGACTTGCCGCCGGCGCCGCCATCTTGCCAAGATGGCGCCCAAACTCGGTATTTTGTAAATATCTCGAAAACTATGCGTTTTTGGCAAAAATTTGAAGAGAGCAAAAAAATTTAAGAGAATAAAATTTCCTATAAAAAGGTTATATGAAAATTTTCGCTAAAGTCAACCGTTCAGGTACAAAATCCCTGGAAATTTTACAAATGTGCGTAAAGTATGATATACATACTATAGTCGATTTTCCGAAATCAAATGTCGATTAGTGTTCACTAAAACTAGTTTTAGTTTAGTTTCTTCAATTTTGTCATGAAACAGTGACGTATCATTAATTTATGAATAATTAATTGTCGTGCTGGACAGCATTCATTTGCGAACTTACCACCAGGTTCAGCATTGGTCTGGTTGTACCAAAGATGCCGAAGAATGGGGTTGGAAGAAAATAAAAACAGGCATTACTCCAGTCAGAACGTTGAAAGATCCAGCTCCAAAATCCATAGTGGCATTTTTATCCTGTAAATGCAAAACCAACAACTGTGGTAAAGCCTGCGGATGCAGAAAGGCAGGATTAAAATGTTC